GGTAGTTTACAAATGAGAGTATATGTTAATGAAATATACATTACTACAATTGACTGGTTCTTCCCATTAATATTTTAGAGTTGGGGGGGATAAAATTTATTGACTAATGACCCCCCCACAATGTTATACGCTAAACGCTAGGAAATAAAGTACAGAGTGCTACTCGAGAACTAGGTAGAGGGCAGGAGGTTAGTTGTTTTCACTTGTTAGATCCTTTAATCCTAATACTTTTTGCAAGTTACCATCCTTTTACATGAGGAAACCAAGGCTTCAGCTTCTTAAGTTGATTAACTTGTCCAAGTTCCTATGATCTGTTAAATAGGAAAACCATGGACACAGGTTTAATTCAAAGGCTGCATCTTCGGTCCACTCTTCCAAATTTTGCTAATCCCTGCATGGATAATGCCTTCATTGCACATCTTTGCTCATTCTCCCCTACTCAGTGAGTCCTATCCTACCCAGCCTATTTAATATCACTATATCAACTGGCCTGCTTTTGATTCCTCCTTATCTTTCACTACCTTTTCTTTAGAAGTATTTATCACTTCCTAACAGTAGATATTTTCTTTACTGTGTATATTGCCTACGGTTGTCTGCTAGGTGGTTAAGCTCTAGGAATTTAAGAGATCCCTATTTGTTTTGTTTTCAGATGTCCTCCCAAAACCTAGAATAGTGACTTATACATAGTAGACACTGGCTCATTTTTCATTTCCCACTTTGATCTTTAAATGCAAGCACAGACTTATCTTAATATTCTCGCTATATATATTACTGGAAGACAAAATATAACCTATACCGAGACAAATTAACATTAAAAAATATTTAAATTTAGTCTGAAATTCTGTTTAAAAATTAAGAGTAATAAATATGATTTTAAAAATTCTAGCTAGAATAAAGAGATGGAAAGACATGTAAAATGACCGTGAAATGGGGAGGATGCAAATGATGAAAGAGCTGTACTTAAAGAGTGTCTGCTCATTTTCTATGATGCTTTAGAGACCCAATGGAAAGCACACATGAATCACAGGAATTAAAGTACTCTAAAACTTTGGAAAGAAGGCTCACTTTAAAGTGAAAAGGAAGTCATAAAAACTTGACCCATTAAAATTATGAATGTCTAGTCATAAAAAGAAACCTTATTTCAAGTGAAAAGACATGTTAAAGACTAGAAGGTATGTAAAACCAACAAGATAAACAATTCCAGAGAAAAACCAAACATGCACTTCACAGAAAAGTGTATGAATGGCCAAATTAAATCAAAGCATTAATTCCAAACTACAGGACTAATTGGGGAGATGCAAATTAAAACTACAATGAGGTAATATTTCATACTCCACAGAATGGTAAAACCTAAGCAATAAGGGACTTGGATGGTAGGAAAAAATGACTCTCCATTCATATCCATTACTAATATACACATCATTGGAGAGAAAACTGGTAGCTATCTCATGAAAGTTGAAGCAGCATCTCACAATCTGTGTTCTAGCAATCTACTACTAGATTTTATATCACAGGGCAACCTTTCTCAATATGATGGCTTTTTACTTGTTATACTGAATGGGGGACACTGCTGAACAGATGAGACTCTTGGTGTGTAGACACAATGCTGCCCCATGTCCCATGACTTTTGGATATTCTGCTGGTTACTCATTTAAGGGAACAAGGGGAAAAAATAAGGTCAGAATATTTAGAAACAGGACTTAAGAAAAAGTATATCTGAATTGTTTTAACAGAGATGAAGATTTTTAAGAATGCAACCACTGTAGAGAAGACTGCACTTTTCATACTTGACTGAAAATAATTTCAGAAACTCATTTATAACACCAGTGCCAGCATTGGTGTTTGAATGGCCAGTATGACACACCTGTTTTAATCCGTTAGTAGCTGTCCCAGTCACAGTGACACTACCATTGGTGAAAAGTTCTCTGACTACTGATCACTATTTCTTTTAGCAGTGCTTCTTAGACTTTAATGAGCACACAAAACACCTGGGAATCTTCTTACACTTCTGCATCTGAGTCAGCAGAGTAAGGCCTAAGGTTCTGATTTCTAACAAGCAGAATTCTGATGTCTACTAATACTACCACACTTGGTAAAAATATTAAGAGTGTGGTTGAGTCGAGCATTTAAACAGTGAAATATGCTACTTTGATATAAACTACTTCTTATGTTTCAAGTAGTGGCATTACTTTAAAATATGAACATTAACTTTACTATGATGAATTTCATTTTAGGACAGTTTTGGGAAATTGTAGTAAGTATTTCTCAAAATTGGGACACAGGTCGAGATCCCCTGCCCTAGGGAAGCCTTACACAAATACACAAGTAAACAAATACAAGAATATTCCTTACGGCATTGTTTATTAACAAGATAACTGGAAAACAACTAGCATGACCCAAAGAATACTGGTATTGTCACACAATGGAACATTAACCATTCTAAAAATTAAATAAACCAGAACTACCTGAACAATCATACATAAATCCTGGGGCCAACTAAGAAAGCAAGCTACAGACAGAAACACCATATTTAAATAATAAAGCAATCAAAAGAAAACTGTCATTCATGGCTATAAAGACATTTAGTGAAGTATAAACACAAAGACAGTAAAGAAGCATGTCAATTTCAAGTTAGTGTTTGGGAATGGTAAGAGTAGCATTTAAGAGGAGAAAAAAGTACTGAGGAAGCCTCACTTGTTTTGTAGTGTTATTTCTTCCAGTGGGTTATGGGTGCATGGATATTCACTATTTTGTACGCTGCCCATACTTATATTGCTGTCTTATTACTCATTTCACCTGAATTGGCAAAAACTGGTGGGCCCTAGACAGGTGTTTGGAAAATACTACTTTAAAACAAAGAATTCAGGACGAGAAGTCAGAAAACGCAGGTTCAAGTGTCAGTTCTGCTTCTTACAAATTGTGTAGCTTTAGGCAATTTGACTGACTTCTCTGGACTTTCATCTGTAAAAAAAAGCCATAAACCATCACTTTTTTTAACTCTCAAGGTTGGGTTTGAGAGGCATATCTAGGGCAATATATGTGGGAAATCTTTAACAGGATAGAAAAGGTAGGAGTAATTTTTGAGAATTAAAGAGCAAAACCTTTATACTAATTAGAAATAAAATGTACCGGTGAATAAACCAACCAAATCAATCTGTCACTCTATTCACCAACGAATTGTAATTCATCATACCAAAACAAGAGAACTGGATTAAGAGTATTTGTTTAGTCAACAATCAGCGGCCACATAACTCCTATTTCACTGCCCTTTCTATAATGTGAGCAAGTGGCTTCCATATGAAGGAACTTGACTCAAGCGGGATAGCTTGCCTGTAACTGTAGCCAATTCCATGACAGAACGTGGAGCAGACACTAATTTCCTATTTCTTTTGTGTTCTTTAAGCTACCAAACCCATTATTTTGCTATGATGCTTTGTGATAGTTTTGTCACAGGCAACAGAATTCTGTCAGATGTCATTTCATACACCATTTCAAAATGGGCAAAGATACTCAAGGAAAACAAACCACTTACCAACTACAGTCCTTGCACTCAAAGAGACAAAATTAAAACCGCCTAGCCTGCTAAAAGTCTAATCCCATCCTTGCCAGTTAACCTTATTAATGCTACAGTAGAAGAAAAGAGAGGTCAAAATATGGGTGATGGAGATGCTATTCATTTCCTCCTGGATCTCTAATACAGCAATTATTGCACAACAGGGATTCTGTTTCTCTCCTAAGTTGAAACATGACTATGTCCACTGTTCTTTAGGTAAGCCACCACCCCTACTCCCAAAATAAAAATTTACCAACAACGGAAGAGTTAGGCAGTCCCAAATTAGAACTGACCATTACAGTAATTACAAAATATTAGCTACGATTAGACATCAGCGAAGTCACCTAGTAAGTTTATGGTATAAGCATATTTAGATAAAAACTTTATGGAAAAAAGTTCACTTTATTGAAAATCATCCCGTTGATGTAGCCAAATGAATGAAACGTTACTTCTTACTCAGATTTCATTAGGTAGTTCCTAATGCCACATCTCCAAAATTCTATTTATTGGAGCCTTAAAAAAAAAACCCAATCAATCACCTTATGGATCAAGTACTATATATAATAAAAATATTAAACAGGAATACCTTTTCTTAAATAGTTGAAGTTTCAAGTGTATTTCGTTATCCTTTTGCTTACCAAACCCACCTCACACGGACTAAATCAAAGTATCGTTTAGAAAAAAATTGTTTTCTAGCATTGGGAGATCTCAAAAGGGATCAAAGTTCTGAATTTTTAGAGACTAAAGAGTTATACCCTTTTCTTTACAAAAGCCCTCCACCAACAGTACAATGAATTCAACAGAACTTTGGTTTCAGGGTTTAAAAAAAAAAACTAACAAGAATTCTAATTTTCCAATTCACAAACTATTCCTGATGAGTCTACCCCAGACAGGTCAAGATTAAAGTTACACAATTTAAAGAAAAAGAATCCTACGACGGCCCCATCGGAATGCCCCAATCACCACCAAGCACCGGGCAGATTCGATCTAAAATAGAGGCGGGCACACATGAGGACATTCTGGAGAAAGGTTTCAGGCATCGCGAATCTCAATGAGTCAGGGAGCGGGGTAAGGTGAACCTGACTCCATCCTTCCGTCCAAAGGGACAAAGGCAAAAAGATGTGAGATAAGACTCCTTTGCAACGAGAACCCGAAAAGCTTTCCTATTCCATTTTTGGGTCCCCCTCCGGCCCCCCGCTTCCCGCAGCCTCTATAACCGCAGGGACTGCCCTACCTCTCCCCTTCAACGAACCACCGGAAAACCCTTCTGAAAAGCACTGCCCCGGTTGGAAGTGGATTCCCCGCCTTTCCCCGGCGCCGAGAGGGATCCCGGTCGCCAACAACAAAGACGTCTCCCGCTCCCCTCCCCCTCCCGCGCTGCGGCTCCGGGCCTAGCGCCCCCTCCCCGAGCCCGGCCGCAGCGCCGCGGCCCCCGCAGCCGACGCACCTGCACCTGAGGGGCCCCGGCCAACGCGTTGGACAGAAAGGGTCGGAGAACTTCCGCCGATGCGCTGTCCTTGACCAGGTGCGATCCGCGCGGCCGCCGGACTCTCCCGGGCTGCGGGCGGGCCCGGCCGAGGAAGGGGGACGAGGGCTGCAGCCGCCGGCACCGGGACGAGCAAGGACGGCGGCGCCTGACACGGTCGGCTCGCGCTCCTGGGTCTCGCCTCGCGCCGGCCCTGGTCCTGCACACGGGCTCGCGTTCTGCTGACTAACGGCCCCGACGCGAGGGGCTGGAGCGGCGACCGCCGCCGTTGGTACTCTCGGGCCTCACGTCCCGCGCGGCCGTGGTCGCAGCCACCACCGCCGCCGCCGCCGCCACCTCCTTTTCTGGCACTGCAGACACCACCCAGACACAGCCAGGTTTTTCTTCTTTCTAACCTTCCTTTCTGCGCTTCGCCTCAGCCTGCCAAGCGCGGGTTCGCTCCGATGGCAGGAGGAAGACTGGAAGGAGCCGAGGGGGCGAGCCGAACGCTCACTAATCCAGGAGTTGGTCACCGACTGGAAAAGGTGCCAAAGCTGACCCGGACTCCAGCCTGCCAGCGGGCCGGGGGAGGGACGCAGCCAGTTTAGCCCGACTCCCACCAATCACAGGCCGCTCATCGGAGTTCCGCGCCAGGAGAGGCTGAGCTGAGTCGGCAGGAGGCGGGGATTGCGGAAAAGAAGAGCCAATAGAAACAAAGGATTCCCGCCCCTCCGCCTTGATGGACTGCCACGTTCGGACCAATAGGGGAATTCTCGCTTCGAAGAAAGCGGGATTTTTTACGTCGGGTTCGAGAGAAAGGCTGCGCCAAGGGGGAGGGGTCGAGGCTGGGCAGCTTGGAAGACCCCTGTTGGAGCTGAGGGGCCGAACGGTGTCCCTTGACCGCCATTAGAAGTCACGTGGGCTGAGGGGCGGGGCGGAAAGGCTGGATGAGTTCCTTCCGGGTCAGTGACAGAAGCGTCAACTCTGTGGGGTAGTTCCTGGCAACTTGATCTTCACTGCCTGTTTTTCCCAGAGTGAGGTGATTGTGATTTCGGCGATGAGCTCTCAGAAGGGGAACGTGGTTCGTTCCAGGCCTCAGAGGCACCAGAATACGTTTAGCTTCAAAAATGACAAGTTTGATAAGACTGTTCAGACCAAGGTAGGAGCCTGCTTGTCTCACTAAATCTGACTCCAGAAAATAATGGTTCAGTAGAGGGGAAAGAGGAAGTGAGAGAAGTTGGCGCGGGCGAGTGTGGACTGCAGCCCAGAGTTAGTTCTGGTTGTAATGCAACCCTTTCTAAGATGATGTTCCCACGCCCTTTCTTTGACTTAGATCTGCTGTCTCCTCGTAAATATATTTAGCGGTCAACACTTGAGTAATTGCACAGTGAACGTGACTCTCATCAAACCTAAAATACTAATGGAGAAATTGAGGCATTGAAGGCTCCCATCTAGATCACACTTTTGCAGTGGGAAAATGAGGATTAGGGCACGTGGGTCTCTTTCAAATTTTGCTGCAAGTTTATACAGTCACTATTTCTTATTGGAAAACCCTAAGTCCATAGATTTGTAGGAAGAATGTGAAGGGTTAAGTGAAAGGGTATCTCGCCGCGACCCTCCTTACCCAGAATGACTCAGGAGACACGGGCCCACACAAGAGACTTTATTATCTGAAAGAGAGAGTGGCTATCTGAGAGCGAGGGAGCAGTGGGACAGACAGCAGAAAGACAGAGACAAAGAAAGAGAGAGCAGCAGAGTGAAGAGACAGAGAGAGTGAGAGAGATAACAGGGAGAGCAGGGGGACAGAGAGACAGACAGAGAGAGAGGGCAGCAGCGTGGTGCCTTTTACTGTGGCCGATCCGCTTGGCCTGTTGCCTTGGGGGAGGGTCGGGATGTTTAGAGATAAGGCAGGGTAAGCCCAGGCATAATTCTCACCGGCTTCTGTGCTTGGGACCATGGGGCAAATGGAGAATAAATTACTGTATTCTTACATTAAGCACTCTTAGCTCCAGTGTCTTCATAAACAAAATGGGAATATCTGCCTTTCGAAAGATTGTTTTAAGAACCAAATTATTTGATGAATGTAAAAATGCTTGTTTTGCTGTTTACAAGTCATTTTCTTTAGTAGGATTTATGTAAACTGGAAGAAAATTCAGACTGCCTAGGTAGCCAGACGTGTTGGGTTGTATACAACTACCAATTTGCTGCAGGTGTCTCCCCCTTCTCCCACAGCTGTAAGGAGAGGAAACACTTGAAAACGATCATCTTGGGGACTACCCCAAGATAAACCTGATAGTCACATGAACTGAAGTTCAAATTTACTAGGTGTGTGGCTAAAGGGAGTTATTTAAGATTTAATTTCTTTGATCTTAGGTTGGTGTCAAATGAGGTATCTGCCAGGATTGTTGTGAGGTCACATGACATATATAAGTGGTCTGGATCATCATAATTGTTCAACTAATGATTAATTTCTCAAAATTGATAAAGCAAAGTTTTTGGTAATCTGTGGTCTCCTTGTCCTTTCCTCTTTCTGTCTTCCCTAACTCTATGAATATTTAATAAATAACTTCCAGTGTGCAATGTTCTGTGCTTATGTGTATAGAGAGTAAAAAAGAATTGACTCTGCCTTCATGGGGCTTAAAATTTTCTGGGTCACTGGACAATAAGCAAGCCCAAAGATGTATAATTACAAATAATGATTAATTCTGATAAAGGGAAAGATAATTTAGTAAAAAAGAAAAGGGAGGGTTATTTTAAACTGGGGGCTCAGAAGACCTCTCCTTTCCCTTACTTAGGCTCAGATTCAGAAAGAAAACCTGGAGCAAAATTTGGGAAGACTTTCCCAAGTTTGTGCTGATTATCCATAGGTAAACCAGAATAAAAACCCAAGCTATTCCAAGCACTTGTCTACCTTATCCTGTATTCTTACTAAGAGTTTTTGCACAATCACTTAATTCTGTTTTTCATCAGATGATAAGAAACAGTTTTAATAAGTAATGTAGCTTACTGTACTTATACTCAAAAGTGCTTCCTGAACTTGTACTATCACTTCTTCCTAGACTTCTTGTATTTGTACTTTTCATTGTCCATTTTTTTTGGTGTTTTTTCTAATAAGTATGTCATTATGATCTTAAATCTTTTCATGAGTTCAAGTTCAGTCACTAAGTGTCATTTTGTTTACCACTTTTATTATTAATTCCTTTACCTCCAAAATTGTGAGGAAGTCTCAGGTGTTGTCCATTGGTAGAAACGCTAGGTTTTTTTTTTTTTGGAGTGTCTACAAAAACAGCAAGACATATTTACTGAGGAAACATCATTAGGTTGATTGTTCATCTGTCTAATTGAGGACTAATTGACTGTGTTCACAGCAAATTCTTGAACCAGCTATGTAAAGCTATCTAAAGCCAAGATTTTCAGAAGCATCCGTCCGACCCTGTCTTCATTCCTGTGCTTCATACCAGAAAGCTGTTTTGGTTCAGTGACATCTAACAAAGAGGGAGGGGTAAAGAAGTGCATGGTTCTCTGTAACTCTCCTGAAAAGATGTAGTGACAATTGCCTACTTGTACCTTGGTATTTTGTAGGAGTCCTGTATGATGGTTCCCCTTTTCCTCCTCAGCTAAGCAGTTTGTTAGGATTTCACTGAAATTAAAAGTTGGGTAATGACAGGTGTTTTATTGGGAAGTTTTTCTAGGAAAAGCACCTGTCCCAAAAGAACACAGGTGATAGGTGTCTTCATGTATCTGAATGTATTCTGAAAGAGGACAGAAGCTTGTTCTGTGGCATTCCAACTGGCCAAAATTGGATCAAAGGGTCAAAGTAACTGAGAAAGGTTTTGGCCCAAAATAAGGGAATTGCCTAATAGGTCCCTGCACTGGGTTTGTAACCTTCCCTTCACTGAGGTTATTTAAAAGAGACCCCTCTGGCCCTTGACCTGTAAGCCCTGTTCAGGACTTGCAGAGATGCGATGGAAAGAAAAATAGGTTTAAATCTCTTCCAGTCATTTGGTATTAAAATGTTGGTTGTATCAAGACTACCTTGTGTCCCTTAGTGGAAAAGCAGTGATGTGTGATGGAAAGAACACTGGAGTAAGAAAAAGTCACATTTTTGCTCCAGTTCTGTTGTATTTAATTTGTTTTGTTATGTTAGGCAGTTGATCTACTTTTAATCGACTCCCTTTTAGTTGACTGTGATTTCGATAGGGAGTCAATAGCTTTTAATCTACAATATGGGATTAATACTATCTCTTGTCTTACTTCCTCTCAAGATTGCTATGGGGATTACTACATTAATATTTTTCAGAAATAGTGATACAAATGAACTAAGTGTAAAGCATATGAAAATTTATGTGGACTTGCAGTTGTCCAAAGCCTAGAAAAGAAATGCATGCTTGTTGAAGAATACTGAAACAAAACAACTAGAGAAATACATGAAGTATAAAAGTGAAAATATCTTTTCTTAGTCCTTTCCCTCTTTCAGGAGTAGTCACTGTTAACAACTAGTGTGTTTTTAAACATCTATACGCAATACAGTACATACATAATAAAATACATTTTTTCTTATTCAATAAAGTGGGTATGTCAGAACATAGAGATTAAGTTCATTCTTTTTATTGGCTACATAATAATATCCTATAATATAAATGTGGACTAAGTTAATTACTTACCTATTGATAAACATTTGAGTTGTTTCAGTTTTTCACTATGACAAATAAAGCTGCAGTGAAATTCTTATGGTCAAACATTGTACTAGATGCTAGGGGTGTAGGGTTGAGCATAATATATGGCCTTGGCTTTGATTGAAGTTTATAGGTTGATGGGTGAGGTGATAGGCATTAATCAGATAATCTTTCAAGTATGTTAATACAAATGGCTATGAAGGAAATGTCTAAGGGAAGCCAGAGAGTATCTAGCAAGAAGTCTTGATTAATTTGGAAGGTTAAAGAAGGCTTCTCTGAGATCTGAAGGGTGGATAGCATTTAATTAAGTGAAATGGGAGGAGCATGCATCATCTTCTTAAGGAGGTGGTTTTATATGTGTAGTCAGCATTGGTTTTACTAGCATTTCTCAATGTTAGAGCCCCAAGATCATATGATTTCAGCAGGGAGTCAATTCATCATCAAATTACTTTGGAACTTACAGTATACGAGATCTCACTTTTAGGGGGTCATAGCATCCACTGGCATAAAGCACTGAAATGTTTTGTAGTTTAAAAAATGTTATTTAACAAAAACTTGCTTGTGTATAGAATTCTTTGGTTTCCATAATACCTATTGAACTAGTTTTGGAGGGGACACACTCATTTTGGGAAATTACCTTGAAATGAAAAAGGAAAAGGAAAATCTGTGGTTATGCTAAGAGTTTTGGAAATAGTTTTTGTTAATAATAGCTCATACTTGTGAATGTTTGTTAGGCACTGTGCATACTTGATATACATTATCTAATGCGATCTTCAAAATAATCCTAAACTAGATGCTCTAATTATTCCAAAGTTAAATAACTGGCATGTGGCTATCGATTGATTATGTAAGATCTGTGCTAGGAAACCTCAAAGGACAAGGAAATCAAAAACCCTTTTCTGTGTATGTGTGGTGGTGGTTTTCAATACTGTGTTTCTATGTGTAATAGAAGCAGTGTGACACCAGGTAAGGGTCAGAACAGAGATGAGCTTTACTGTCCCTGCCCCAAAACACTACCTATTTGAAATGTTCCAGGGAAAGAGTTTCCTCACAAGGTGTGGCCCACGGGAGTGTCACATATCACAGATATGGGCTGGTTGGAGTGGGTCCCATCTAATCACCAGGGCTCTGTAGCAGAATTGGGGCTCCCTTACTGTGAAAGCAGATGCTAATATAGTCATGCCCCTCAGCTTCTTGTTAGTCAGAAAGCTCTCTTAATTCTAAAGTGGTATGAATATATTTAAGCAGCAGAACAGGATTCTGTTTACAAGCACCTTTATTCACAGTAGAAAAAAATGGGAAAAAGACCCTTAAGTCTGTGTCAGCAGGAGAATAGATAAGTAGATTGTATCAATTATACAATGGGATATTACTCTGCTCTTTTAAAAAAATGAATTACTGATACATGCATTACTTGCATGTATTGTATACATCATGGATGAATCTCAGCAACACTGTGTGGAGGAAAAGAAAAATCAGAGTA